GGCTCGCGGGAAAAGGAGACAAACGGGAGAACAGCTCACTGTTTCGCGAGTTTCAGACTATTTCCTTGAATTTCCTTAACAACTTCCATTTTCATTCCCTACGGCACTCAATGTGTCGTACCATCTGCCTCTGAATTAGTAAACTGTATTATATCGAAAGACCCTCATTTCAATGAAAACAAATTACTTTCTGCGTCATCATCAATGCGATTCGGTAGCAGCCTGCAGTGAAAAAACAGCTCAGCTTCTAGTCCCTCAAATTCTGTTCAAATTGCGCCTTGCTACATTAATCGCAAATTATGCACAATAATTAATTATTCAACAATTCTCGGAGGGCCACCGACCTTACTTATGATCACATTTTTGATAACAAATGAAGTTCTAGGAACAGTCTCGTGATTAAAATCGCCTGCTGCTTGTAAACAACTGGCTACGATTTCTTCAGGAATAACGAAATGTTGACAAAGTTGCTCCAAAAATGCTTTCACATTTCCCTGCTCCAGAAAAATGCACGCGTTAGGACCAGCATCAAAGGTGTATGCGGCTCGAATTCCATCAGTATTGAACTCATTCACTGCTCGAATGACCTGCCATGATGCATCCGACATATACTGCAAATAATTATGAAAATCTGCTGAACTTGGTAGAAGCATTTAGGCGTGCCAACTGATCAAAACACGCACACCTCTGTCACCAAAGGATTCGAATTAATCAATCGTAAAAATTTTCAAATTCGCGCTTTAGACTTAAAGGCACGGGTCGCAATCCAATTGGTCTGTTAGTTTGTTCGAAACTAGACAAGAAGTGAATGAGGAACGTTAGTGGTAAGAAAAAGCAAAAAGCACCATAGAAAACACTGAAATTTCCCTTGTGAGTCGGCCGTGGTATGACGGAGAGACACAGCGCTGCGAGGAGAGGGAAAACGCGAGAGAGCACGTCGTACGCGAGAGGGCGCACGTCCACGTATGCCGCGATTGAGGGCCCCTCTCGCGCACTCATCCCATAGACCGAATTAATCAGCTAGGATCAGCGAACAGTCGTGAATTTCTTGACACGCAGCTGGCAACAGCGCTTCATAAGCTACAACATCGTACCTTGAGAGGAGGGAACGTGTCCATACAAATAGCATGAAGTTGGTTACTATCTGCCATGACGACACGTCCGAATTCAGGAAAATCACGTGATTCGAATGCATGAATTATCCTTAACAATTACCGTATTAGGATAGAAAGCACAAAAAAGGAAGAAACAAGAAGATTTGTACCTTTTGATTCTTTGGGGAACAATAACTTGGGCACGATATTGGGTCAGGTCGCTTGTGCGGACAGTCCGTTGCATTCCTTCGCTGCTACCAACTTCCTTTTCTAAGTCATCCAAGAACAACTACAACAGCACGAAGTCCAGGCCAAGTTGCTTCAGGAAGACGCTCCTTGAACGAAAGGTACTACATCAAGCAATGCGTTGGATTGACTGAAGAATGTGGGTTTCATCAGTAACCGTCTTGTGACGGCCAACGTCCAATATTGATGGAGGTTTGGTGCAAGTCAAATTAATTTTAATTAGAAATTAAGGAATTAAGCTTCTTGTTAGGAGTTCCTGATAATGATGTATATGAGATAGAAGGGGAGATAAGCATTCGTTCGTTTCATTTCTTTCATCCACGTCCTGGGTCAACGTCGCTTCCTAGTCTAATGTGAGTCTACATCGCTCCGCAATGTCGCACCGTTTCCAGAGATGCGACAATACGGCGATTTGGTCATTCCGGGAATTCCGGCTTCGCGCCCATGGAAAATTCTACTGTAGTGCTGCGTTTTGCAGCTGCGTCTCTGCAGCTGTTCTCGCCGCAAAAATAATATCAAAGTCAGTCCTTTCAGCGTTTTGTGGGGACTTCGATAATAGAAACGGATGGGGCGTTAGCCTTGGGTGACTCTGTGGATGCGCGGGCGCGGTCCGATCTCATAGCGAATGGGAATGAAGAAATCGTGTGGCGTTATCTTTCTGGTGGTCAACTCATCTTGGTAATACATAGCACATGTGCCTCGATAAAATCAACCAAACATCACTGCATAGGGTGTACAAAGCGATGGACTTACTTTGGCGATAGAGTCAACTCCAGAGGGGTCACAACCTGCTTCCCACTCCACCAGTCCCCCGAACACCGGTAGCGGATATGGCGGGTTTCCCCGATCCTGAAACGGGGCCCGCGCAGGACCGTCGTTTCATTTCTCAAGATGAGTAATCGCGAGTGACAAGCGCGATTACCGGAAGCGATATTTTCGGTACTGCGGGGCCTACCACCGAGATTAATGATAATACGGAAACTCTGTTTTTCGCGTAAGGCCACATCCTCATCATAGACCGCTGTGACGCCACAAATTTTATGGGGGGGGGGTTGTGGCTTTAGATTAAGGAGCTAAGTATTACAAGCAGGCAAGTCCAATCTTCCATTCGAGTTGCGAAGGATGGACTCTCATGAGATTCGTGATGCACGTTGATTGGCAGCTAGGATAAAAGCCCTGTGATGTGAAACGTGAAACGCAAATCCTCCGTGATAGAATCCAATACTCCGGTTCGATCAATGATCGTGAAGGCTGGTCTATCTTTTTGGTCTGTGCTGACTGCGCGTCATTGAATTTGTGCTGTTTTACTGTATAGCATACATTATACGAAGTTATACGACTTTCCATCTGTGCACAGTCTTCTACGGGGGTCGTAGCGGAAAGTTCTAGCCCACCTGCCCCCGAAGGTTATATTGTTCAGATAGCAAAGGCACTAGTCATAGGGCACTATTATCACCAGAGCGTAGATAGGTGCGCAAGGATGAGTCTAAAGTTGTGGGCTTTCGAAGGTTCCATCGCGCCAGTGCGCTGGCGTATTTGCGTACAATTGCAACCACTAACAGCCTGCGCTTGTTCTTTTATTGAGTATGTCCGTAAATGCTGGAGGAAATCATAATAGATCAATAATTACCTCTTCTTGCGAGAGCAGATATGTCTACCATTGGCAGTCAAAAGTGCATCGCAATGCGTATAGCGCAAGCTGCGGCCAGAAGGGCAGGCGCACACAGGGAGTTTTGTTGATGAAGAAATCTGAACAACAGCTTTGCATGTAGCGCGAAGAAAAACCTGCTCCAACCAACCTGGAATTTTAGTTCCCCTTTGCTTTCGGAATTCGATTCAGTAGTCAATGCATGTCGCCGTATTAACTCTCGGGCGCACTAAATGCAAGAAATATTCCACTGAACATAGCCCGGACCCGGATTCATTCCAGAAAACAAAAATGTAGAAAAACGGAATGCGGAAAAGTTTCAAGGAGTGAATACTTTTTGGGAGACAAGGCTTTGAGAGTTTTAGTTAGAATGACGGGAAAGTCCAGGGCACCTGTGGGCTGAAAAGAAGGCGACGAGAACAACTGCCGCCGAGAAAAGGAACAGAAATAAAGTAAATAAAATAATAGAAGTATAATGCAAGTTATCATCTACACAGCCTAGACGGCATAAGGCGCTGTCATAGTTTTGCCGATTGAGCGATTCGCTAGGGCGATCGCTGGGATCGCGCGTTGGCCAGGCGAGTCGACTGAGGCACTTTGATTTCGCTGGCGCAACGCTCGGATCAGCGATTCGCTTAGCGATCGCTCGGTTCGAAACTTGACATGGTATGTACTTACTTCGACACTGCGGACAGGACGATTCTTTTTCTACGTCAGATCTAGTGACGCCATTGATGGCCACTCTGATCAGATTGCAAACTTGATGAACATCGAACTCTGGTGCGAGCATAAAGAGCATCAATGTTCAATGACAGTGAATTATTGATAGGAATAATGAGATCCTGAAATAAACACGATGACAAACCCACTATAGACGGAATACTTCTAAGCTCAATAGAAAACTGGGAGCGCACTCCCAAACGACTGTGCACGCATTCCCCAAAAGCAAAGCTATTTTTAGCTACTGTGATTTATTCTTTTGGCACGACAGTGAAAAGTATTTGTGGTGAGGCGCTGTTATGACATATTAATATGACACAACGCGTCCTTACCATCCAAAAAACTACCTCGCGGTGGTTATTGAGGTGAGCGGATTGACGTTTTTTTGGACTGGATGGACTTTCAGGTTTTATTTTTTGTGTGTTTTTATGCTCGACGGTTTCGGTGTCATTCCAAAGCCATCAGCTGCAACCTCTCGTGTACATAAAGGATAAAAAAAGGAAAGCGGACAAAGCGTTGAGCTTTGGCTAATCCCTTGTTGGTATGCGCCATCCATTTTACCCCCTCCAGAATCGCAGTGACGCTTCGAAATGATTTAGCCTTCACATCTTTTGAGGGAGGTAGTGCACAAGGATTTTGCCCCACAACAGGATTGGCGAATGGCTGACCTCGGAGAGGTGGGAGGCTCGCTTGACCTGGACGATGTACTTATTTAGAATTTAATCCCCAGACCATGCACATGGCAGCACCACTTGCCACAACAACATTTCAATCCTATTTGGCAGATAATTAAAAAAGGATAAAGCATTTGCCGTTGATCAATCCCTTTTTGGGATGCGGCACGCATTCTACTTCCATTTGTACATTCGTAGTGGCGTTTGAATGCGATGTGGCCTATACAATGACTTGCGGGGGCCAGCCGATGTACAAGTCAGTGTTTTTATCCTCCCAGACAAGTCTGGTACCAATTAACCGACCCCGGAGGGATGGAAGGCTTGGTTGGCCCGGGCGACTCACGACCCAGGATTTGATCCCCGGACCGCTCGCGTGGTAAGCGTGCCACTTGCCACACCACTTTTGACAGATGGAACTTGTATACTTGTTTCAAGCGGAGGCGATGCAAGGCCAAATGGCGTTCCTTAGCGCACAGTACAGATGTTAAAACTCGAACCCATTCTCGCTCAGGCCAACCCTGCCTTCCATTCCTCAGGGGCCGGTCACTTCCTAACCGGGAACACTAAATTGTGTACTGGCTGGCCCGAAAGGTATTGTATAAGGATACGGCATTCAAGTGCAACTACAATACAGAATGGAAGTAGAATGCCTGGTGCATCTTAGAAAGACAAATAAGCGCCAGAGCGTTCAGATTTTATCCTTCACACTCATTTCAGTGTGGAGCACGAACGGGAGCAAAAAAGGTTAGCGAGATGTCGGTCAGACTCTGCGATTGCATCGCGCGATGCAGTCGCTCTTGCAATGTGCACAAGCGACGGGCGATTGGCCCCGCCCACATCGATGCAGTCGACATCGGTATCGATCGCGGCGGGCCGCTTGCACTTTTGGCAGAGCGATTGCATCGCGCGATGCAATCGCAGAGTCTGACCGACATCTCATGCGGCATGAGCGCACTGCATAGCGAGTGCATGCAACATCACTCATTTTTTTGCGGGCGTCTAAGCTCCGAATTGAAACAAATATAAATTCATTTATTTCTCACAATCGAATAGCAGTCGAATGCGAACCTCTGAAATCATCGGAAAATAACCCGAACGCTCAGTAAGGAGTTAGTCACAATTTCTGTATCACCATATGATTGTGAGATAGCTTGCAAATCTATTATTTCAATTTTAGTCAAGTCACGTCACAGAAAGCAACTCTGAAAGCCAACTTTGCAACTGCTTTGGGTAACACAGAAGTGACCTGGACTCACCTCATCTCTTTTGCCCCAGTACTTGATAAGTGCAATATTGATGGGAACTTCGACTTCTATAGTCCGGTCGTAATGAGAGGTAACCATTCTGTAACGAAGTTTGCATACGAGCGGCAAAAACCAATGCTGCTGATATAGGAGTATGACACATCCGAAAATAATACACTGCACATTCAAATGGCAAATCTTTCATTGATTTCAATAAGAAAAACCAGACCGAAAAAGAAAGAGATGGACACGAGGAACAGGTGCACCAAGACTAGTCAGGATGACGCTCTAAGAAAACAGAAACGCAACCATTTCGGAGTTCTGCCACCCTCAAAATTAGCTCCACATTCTTGCGACGGTCATTTTCGGCCATATTATGATGTAGTTCTCTGGCAAAGGATGGCAATTCTCGGAAATATCCGCAGCTACATTGGTGCAGATCCATCGTTAACAGTGCCGAATTATAACGCATGACACGCAATTAAACACTATAAACAGAGGATAAAAACAAGCGAATGTACAAGTGAGTGAATTCTGAAAGGTTCAGGCAAGTCGCCAAATAATGTGTAGCCCTGAGTCGGTTTCCACAATATCACTCATTTCACCGATATCCAACGCAAAAGACGCATCCTCGAATGGTTTCTGCATTTGACGTCGTCCAAACATTCCTAAAGTACATATCATTTTTAACATATTGACGTTCATTGAAATGACATGAATTCATGGTGGTTCCCAAACAAAAACAATTCGAAGTGTCAATTCGTCATTTTCAAGATTCTCGTTTCAAGAGTCGGGTGACTGTGCACTGAAAGCAGGGTCAAGGTAAAGCGTCCCCTGGTGGTTTGGGCGGTAGGACAACTGCTAAAAAAAGTAAGAGGTTCGGGCAAGAATCCGCCTTGAGCGATGTATTTTGGAAGCAGCTTATCCACATAGCTTCTATCAAGTGCAGTCACTTCCGGTGACCCCAACTCTCGGATATCGAGTATACGTGAGCACGGGAGAACATAACATGCGGCCTCCAATAAAACTCGCAGAAAACGCAGAAATCAACTAAGGAAACAACTGTCTTGTTTCGCGAGTTCCACGTCGATTACCTGGATTTTTTCCTTGTTTTTGTATCCCCTAGCAGCCCTTCTTTTCTTCCCAAGGGTGATCGTAATATACACCTTTAGATGAAAATTACAGAAAATGGAATGAAAGAATTGCATACTGCAGAAAAACTCACCAAGATCACCACCTCTTTTCGCCGAGCTGCAATCGCTGAATTGCTGCGCCAACTTCCTGAACGTGGCTTCGGGATTACTCGAATTTTGGATCTGACGAATATAATCCTTCAGAATATTTCTCGCATCTTCCTTAGATCGAGTAATCTTGTCAGATCTCCAACTCGAAGGGCGACGACTACCGGCATGTTTCACAAGCAAATGAGCAGCTCGAACTTGCGTGAGATCCGAACCCTTCCCAAACGCTGGCTCCGATGGACGTTCCCACTGGCTCCGGCCGGTGGCCTGGTTATAGTAGTACTCTTGGTTGTTCGTGCGACTCATGCGCTTCTCCCAACCAGCCGGAAGCGGCTGTTCTTCTGGGTCTGCCATCTATTGCGTGGCTGAAAAAATGAAATATCACAAAAATGATCACAGCATGATCCAACGACACTTTACAAATTCGCATCAAAAGCATGAACGTTCAAATGTGGTGTTTATGTTTATCCAATTACATGAGAAACATTGAGTGTGTGCTTACGAAAATGTCCTCAATGTGGCCTCTGAAAGTATTCTCGATATTTGCAAGTTGGGGTAGAGCTTTGTCACCGAATGACGTGACTATCTAGCTATGAGATAAGACTGCTTTCCACATTAACATAACTTTATATCAACAAAGTATTTGGCACCACTTATTCCACACAACTTCTATCAATAGCCACACACTTCCTGGTGCAGCCTACCCATCGATTATCGACTGTAGGTTTAAAAGCTACCTGACATGTAAGCCAAAGTTCTATCTCGCGTTAATGGATTGATGGAGAAAGAAGCAAGTTGCGTTAAACAAATGAAAGTTGTCATTTTGAATTGACTCTCTCTTATCTGTTCAGTATTGACAGAATATCAGCATCTTGTCACTGCAATTCGCAAGATCGTAAACTCTTTGTATCGCCTGCGGTCTCGGTCACGCTTTTCAAAACCTTGCAGCTGTTGTAGTCTTTTGTTGACTTTCTCAGAAAGGGCTGTGGCACAGGTCCCGCCTAACGCATTTGAGGTAGAATAATGAGATGAGAAGTCAATGGAACAAACTGAAGATTCGAGAACGATGGATGATGTACAATAATTATGCCAAAACGATCGAATGGCAACCGCCGCGCACCAAATTGCGTATTTTCTCCGCACTCGATAACAAGAAACTGTGAGAGAGTTGCAAAACATGGCCGCAGCCAGCATTCAAAAACAACAAAAGCTCATACCATCGAATGGCAAACCATGGGCTATTTTTTCGGGAATTCCTGGCAAAGCTCCAGAACACTAGAAATGGGTGGCTTGGCATGACGAAGGTTCGCCCGCGAAATAGCAAATAGGTGAGAGCAAATGAAAATGTCAATTCCTACTCTGATATAATTACCGCGACTCAGGTGTGTGGAACCAGGTCATGATCAATGCCACTGTCATCACAGTATTCTCTTCGGCTATTTTCAGCTTAGGGAAGAGTTATGAAGCTTGGTCGGGGTAAAAAAAATCCGGCAGAGCTTCATTGGTGGTTGCAAAGAATAATTTTCTGCACTGCAAAGGCAACACCACTGAATAGAATTCCCTGAAAGTCGTCAACTTTGTAGATGAATGGCTGAATTCAAGGAAAATTCGCTGGATGGCGGACTCAAGTCGCAGCCATACTTGCTACTTCCTCCGCTACACACATCACACGCGTCGCGGCGTTTAGCATTGGGTTGTTCCATTTTGATATTTTTGCTGTCCGCTAATTTCCCCTTTTCGACTCATCAATTTTTCCTTTTCACTGAGTTTCCAATTTTATTGTCCTAACTCGAATGCACCTGCTGGAACCTATCTCATAGCGCTTGATTTTGTTATGCGTAGGGGACATTCTGAAATGTTACGACGAGAAAGAATGACCTAATGTGAACCGCGACGCGCGACATGTGCGTTGCGGCGTGTGCTACCGTAAGGCTGCTTTCATAGTCTGCGGTCCGTGCCGTCCGTCCGCGCCGTCCGTGCGGACGGCTCGGACAGGGTGAAAAACGTCAACACGCGCTCTGGCGCACAATGCGTACTTGGCGCGCAGTCGGCGCCTCCCTCGATCGATACCTCGGTTTAAATGCATTTCCTGCATTTTTCGAAGTTTGTGAAGATGTGTTGCGTTCATTCATGTTTTTTTTAGTTCGTACTTCGTATAAACACATGAAATGAAATGACGAACTCCTTGGGTCTTATTGTCACGTTCTCACGTAGCCAATCCACGCCGACTCGATCGGAGCAATTGAAACATATCAGCTAAGGCAAAGAAGAAGTCTCAACTAAAAAAAAACATGAATGAACGCAACACATCTTCACAAACTTCGAAAAATGCAGGAAATGCATTTGAACCGAGGTATCGATCGAGGGAGGCGCCGACTGCGCGCCAAAAGGCCGGACGCATAGTCGGTCCGACACATGCAACGAACTGCAAGTGTCGCAGATCGATACGACAGGTCATACTGTGAGACACTTGAGCAAGATCGTTCATCGTCGTCAAAGATGCAAGATCAATACGCAGCTACTATTCCACACTACAATGGACTTTCGAAATACCATCACGCGCAGTCACGTGTTGTCTGGGTTTGCATTGGGTGACCGCGTCGCCTTCCATTTGCGACCGCGGTTTATGCGACACTTGCGGTCGTCCTCGTGTCCAGACAGCCCAACGCACGTGTTGGTCGTCACGACGGACTATGTCCGGGCCCACGTCGCTAGGGCAAGCAGAGCCGCGCTGTTGAGTTTATTCACCGTAATCAGCAGAGGGCACGCACGACCGCAGACTTATGAAGCAGGCCTAAAGGACGCTTTCATATAGTCGATCGCGCGATCGCAACGATGGCACAGCACCATGTACGATCGATCGTCACGTCGCATCTAATGCTGCGCTGTCGTCACGATCAAACGACCAACTATGAAAGCGCCTTAGGACTGCAAAGATCGTGTCTCGCCGGCAAACCGCGAACGTGTCAATATTTCCGTACAACAGGCTAGACAATTTGCCATTTCGGTGGGACCATTCAGCTGATTCTGAGCCCTCTAGCCCACGGGATAGTGGTAAGCCTTTCTTTATAGGTGAAATCACGACCTAATCTTGCCCGAGGGGCACTCGTACTTAAAGGCGATATCACGTTGACGACATCGCGCGTTTTGGCTTTTTTGGCCGCGTGGGACCAGAGCGATTTTGCGAGCGCCGCCGCCTCACATCAAATCCGTGGATTTTGAGCTGTAAATACGCAATACTTGGATGCGACAAAATGTTTTCAATAATGTTCGATCTGTCTAACTTATCGGGAGTTACAGTAATGGAAGTTCGACCGAAATGACGTGTTAAGGCCATGAAAAGGCAAATTTTACTTACTTTCCTTTAGTGGTTCAAAATTAATTTGGACGTGGTTGTTTCAGTAAAAACACATATCTTGCCATACGAATAGGTTTGTATTCACTTCTATTATTCTTTTTTATCACATGTTCGCGTTAATGAAAAGAAAACGAGGAATGAACTGAACAGACATTTTCGTAAGGTCTGAAAAACCTCTGCCAAACTAAAGAATATTTGGCCATTCTGTAAGCCACGTGGTTCTTGGTTATGTTGATGTATGGCCTATAAAATGAAGCAAGGAAAAAATTGCGCATGTGCGCAAAAAATGTAATGGGTGTGGCATACATAGTTGCCACAATGTCCGATGAGGTGCAAAATGGCGGCATACATAGTTGCCGCGCTGTCGTCAAGGTGTTAATCAACTAATCCCTCCCGCGACGCGTTTTCAGCGACTTATTTTCCTCTCTTGTTTCACTGACATATCAGCTGCACCTATTGTTTTGTATTCGAACCCATATTTACCCCATTTTTGCCATCGCGAAATGTGCCTTTGAAGAACGCCCAATCTAATCGATTTAGTGACTCATATCATAGAACTACAGCGAATACCCCTGGCTTAATTGAGCAGAGTAGGAATTAGCGTCGTAGATTTTTCGTTTAAAGGAAATGGTCACGGAAATCCCTGTGGATACGATGAGGGAAGTGACATAGTGGATTGGGTAGGGGTCCTACCCAATGAGACAACAGGTGACGCTTCAGGGGCAGTGGCGCCTTATCAACGGCGTGGTAAGGCGCCAACTTCCGGTTCGCCGTTGCACCTCCGTATCAGACGTGGAACGGGGGTAAATATGATACGGTTATCGTTATCGTTCGATTTTCATGCTGGAGTGCACCTCTTTCTAAGCAGCCGTATCTTCTTATCTAATCGTATCCATAGGGTTACGCTCGTCCAACCACTCTCTATCTCCGACCTTTCGAACGATTACGATAACGGTATCATATCAAATACGCTGTCCTTGCAACCTCTTCCACGTCCGATACGCAGGTGATACTGTGATCGGAAGTGGTTCTGGCGCCTTATCCCGCCACTGATAAGGCACCCTTGCCCCTGAAGTGTCCACTATCCGCTCATTGGTTAGGTCTCATACCCAGTCCACTATGTACCCGCCATTCGTCCCCATGGAACTAATCGGACCACTTCTTTTAACGGTCGATATCGACACAATACAGGTCTGCGCAAGCACCAATGAAGACTCAGCTAAAGGAGAACTCCACGATGATGAAGGTCGAAGAAGGGGGAAACTTACCTAGTGGAGAGACAACGAACCTCCTAAGGGTGCGCATCGACGCGCAATTGCATCGAAGGATATGCCCCGTCCAGCTAACATGGCCTTACCCGCGGCGCAATTGGCGCGGTAGGAACCCTTTTCGTGTCGAGTCGCATCAATGAGCAAACCAACGGACCAGGAAGGGGTCCCATTTCACATGTTCTACTCCATTTTTTTCGGTTTTTTCCTCTTTCTTATTACCAACCATTTTCAACAACTTAACTTCCAATCGGTTGTCTTTTCATCCGCCAAAAATCCGCCTTTAAGCACAGTATATGAAAAGGAAAAAGGATTTGAATAGATGATCTCATGAATGCTGCCCATCTTCCCCGCCAACGTTCTTCGCTCAACGTCGGAGAGGCCGGACGCATAGTCGGTCGGACGACAGCAACGACTGCAAGTGTCGCACAGCATCGGGTGCGTATCGATCTGCGACAGCAGCGGTCGGACGACAGCAACGACCGCAGGTGTCGCAGATCGATACGCACCCAATGCTGTGCGACACTTGCAGTCGTTGCTGTCGTCCGACCGACTAC